CTATATAACGGTACCCCCCGATATTCGGTATTTTAATGATTTTAGCGACGTTATTTACCGGGATTGTTTCAAATTTCGTATGTGAAGTTCGTAATGGATACTTCAGCCCATGCCAGAAAATTGTCTGTGCAAGTCCACGTCTTCGTATAGCCCCCATATAACGGTACCCCCCATATTCGGTATTTTGACGATTTTAGCTACATTATAAACAGATTTTTCTTCAAGTTTCGCATTTAAATATTGTAATAATTTATGACAAGAGTTGCCTATGCAGGCCCACGTCGTCGTATAAACATTCGGTATTTTTAAGATTTTAACAAAATTTTTAACGGGTTTTATTTTTTGGAAATTGCCAAATTTGTACCAAATGGTGGAGGGTATTAAAAGTTCGGCCCGGCCGAACTTACAGCTTTTTTACTTGTTTTCACTTATTATGGTCATAGGCTAAAGTACCCATTAAGATTTTCAAATATAAAATTTGAAACAATTCCGTCGAATAATGTCCTTAAAATCATCAAAATGGCGAATATCCTCCCGATACAGGGTGAGATAAAAAAAAACTACAACAAAGTCAAACGCCATAAATTTTAAATTTTTTTTAATTCTTTTTCGGAATTTCGGAAATAGCATCAAATTTTAGAATAAGTTTAGATTTCTTCGAATTGATCACCTTTGGCACGAAGTATGGCCTTCAAACTGCCAATTAAACCGTTACACGCTGCCCGAATGGAGCTCTGCGGTATTTTGGCCCATTCCCGCCGAAGCGCTTGCTTGAGGTGATCGACACTTTGGTATTTATTAGTGCCAAACTTGCTTTCTAAAATACTCCAGACTCAATATCCAGAGATTTTGGTGGCCATGTGCGCTGGAAATGAAGCGAGGAACCTCATTTTGTAACCATTGCTGATTGCGATGGTGCTGAGTCCTGTTGGAATGTCCAAGGTCTGCGGCCAAAATGTTTGCGTGCCCGAGACTTCAAGCTCCAGAATATTTTCGCGATAATATTCGGCATTTATACCGATGCCACTGTCGATTAATGCGAGCGGAGAGCGACCATCGGCTGTTATGGCGTCCCAAACACCATCACCATGGCCGGGGCTTGAGTTCTGGTGGGCAATCGAAGGTGCACATTTTCAGCTGACCTCTTTGTCAAGTAAACACGATAATATTCTTTGTTTACAAACTGCTGGACAACGAATGTTTTCTCATCGGAGAAAACCAAATTCGGCAGTTCAACACTTTCGGCCAAGCGAAGCAACCCTTTAGCTCTTTTGAGTCTATATTCTTTTTGTTGCGGGGTAAGTTCTTGCGTTTTTCGGCTTTACCCCGAGCTCATTTTTCAATATTTGCCGAATGGAATATTGCGATATTTTCAGCTCACGAGCCATTTTTCGGCCACTGCAACGCGGGTTTCGATCAAGTCGAATTAATAAAGTATAGAAGACAAAAAATTGCAGTATTGTAAGGATCAACAAGTATTTTTAATTTAATATTAATTTTTTATTTATCTCAAAACTTGGAAGGATTTGGTCCGTCCTAGTATTATGTGATTAGCATTTAGCTCAGAAATTATTTCCATTCCCAGTCAGGGTTATTCCCACTACTATTGTTTTTTATGAAAACAAATCCCTTGGGTTTTGCCTGGGGATATTCTCGAAACTATTTTACCAATTTCGTAATTTAACCCCCCCCCCCAAAAAAAAAAAAAAAAAAAAAAAACAAAAATGTCAACACTGCTATGTACCTATTTTTATTTATAACTAATTCAAACATTACAGTTAGTTGAAAATTATACCCATGGAGATGCTCCACATTCATATTTGGAACACAAATACTTTTGGGGCTTAAAGAAATAAGCGGCGTATACTTCAGATTCTTCTAGATACCTACTTCCATTAATTGCCCTCATTTTTTTTCTATTGGGACATTGTAAACTAAAAGTCATTGCGAATTATTGATTGGCTGATAACTGTGCACTGATGTGATCTTTTGATCAAAACGTCGACGAACAATTGTCGTTTTTTTTGTGGCCCCTCACCTACCTCACCCCCCTTCCCCCCATCGTCTCAATATCTTGCGAACTTTGTTTATTTTCTTCATTTTTGCTGAAAAACAAATTGCATAACATCATTTTCTTTGGTATTTTGAGTGACTTGTGGCTGCCTTTGTCTCACTTTCACCATCCCCCACCTCCCCCACACACACACACACTTAGTGAGTAGTCTCTTTATAAACAATATTCATTTTGAATTATCAATGGCACGAAAAGAAGGTATACCCAACTGTACTCCGTCCGTACTAGAGCGGCAGCGGCGGCGGCGGCGGCAACAGCAACAGCAACGATTTCAAAATGTTGTGTTCATTATCAGTAGAGCATTGAAATACTATTTAACAACGACGCACTGTGAAACTGAGAGGGGGAGAGAGAGAGAAAATATAGTATGTAGGCATGGGTTGCCAAGTAGTACTAGGAAAAATGTGGGAAGAAATTTTAATAATTTTCAAGCGAAAAGTTATAATTAGGCTATGATGGATAAAATTCACAATTTTTGTGAAAATCAGCTTTTCCTACCCAGCAGAAATTCGGCAGGCATATGTGGCACATTCAGCATGATTTCTATTGAGAAGTACATACCCTTTGAATTACCTATACTTTCTGCATTACTGGTAAGCAAAAAATAATGCCTTATTCACCGGAATTGTTTCAAATTTGGTATTTGAAGTTCGTAATGGATACTACAGCCTATGACAGAAAATTTTAAGTGCAGGTCCACGTCTTCGTATAGCCCTCATATAGCGGTACCTCCCAATTTTCGGTATTTTGATGATTTTATCGTCATTATTCACCGGAGTAGTTTCAAATTACGTATTTAGAGTTCGTAATGGGAAATACAGTGTTTGACAGACTGTCTATGCAGTTCCACGTTTTGGTATAACTCCCATTTTTCATTATTATTTCAATATAATTTATACCCTACACCACAAGGTGGTCAGGGTATTATGTCTTTGTGCATTTGTTTGTAACAGGCAGAAGGAAACGAGATAGACCCATAGTTCCTTTTGATGATCTGCATAGAATCACATTCTGAGTCGATTTATGCATATTCGTCCGTCCCTCTGTCCGTCTGTCCATGTATTTTTGTAAACAAAGTACAGGTCGCATTTATTGCCCGATCCAGATGAAATTTTGCAAAGATCTTTTGTTTGGCCCAAGGACGAACCCTATTGAAATTGGAGCTAATCGGTCAAAATTTAGATATAGCTCCCATATATATCTTCGTCCGATTTGCTTTTTATTGTGCACCAAACGTGTAATATCAGCCCGAATTGTATGGAATTTTGCATATACACCCAAATTAGGCCTGAAAATATGTATGCCAAATTTGATCGAAATCGGTTCAGATATAGCTATAGCTCCCATATATATCGTTCATCCGATTTCTAGTATTTGTTACCCACAGCCGTAATATGCACTCCGTAACAACGATATTCAGGGAAATATATCAAATACAGCTCAGAAATATCTTTGCCAAATTTTATCGAGATCGGTTCAGAATTGGGATATAGCTCCCTTATATATCTTTATTTCAGGATTTCAAATTAATTTTGCACTAAAGGGCAATACAAGTCCGAATTTAAAAGATTTAAACTTTGAACTTTAAATTATAATTATAATTAAGCGTGTATGATTGAATTCTCACATAAAAACTTTTAATTGTTACGTAGAGTTCTACTTAATTAGCAATGTGGTGTAGGGTATCAAAAAGTCGGCCCCGCCCGACTTTAGGACTTTCTTTACTGGTTATTCTCTGAAACTTATACTTATTTTTTATTTTTTACTTAACAAAACATGGCTCCTAGATATTTGCTTACTTTGTTGCAGCCTTCTTTCCATATTTATCTCCGTCTGTCAGTTGTGGTATTGGATTTGTTATAACCAAAAAAAAAAAAAAAATGAAACTAGAACATACCAAATTATTTGACCTAATTTTTTTTCTCTATACGATATTTGTTGTCTGCTGCAATGACGTAGTTTTTCTATAATTCAGATGGCGGCGACTCGTGCCGCATATTCGTAGAGAGGGGGGGAGAGGGCGAGAGATAAGAAGCCTTGTTTATTTTGTCTTACCAAGTCTATATAGAAACAATATTTGTTGCTATATTCCATGTTGGCTGCTGGTATATAATTGTATTTTTCCAAATGTCTAGTCAAGTTATTTATGACATATGGATGGATGGATGGATGGATGGATGGTGGCGATCAGTGGATGGGAAAACTAAATTCATATTTTTTCGGTTTTTGGCCGTCCGTCTGTCTGTCTGTTCTCTACGCCATTTGTGGGTCATACGCACGAAAAATAAATCATAGACTTAATTGGTTTTTGTTTGATTCTGTTTGGAAGGAAAATATGTGTTATGGGGTTGGAGTATTGAATTCGAAATTCTAGAATATTTGTAACAAATGGAATGAAATTTGCTTGAAGCGCTTGTTTGAGGTGATCGACACTTTTGTATTTTTTAGTGCTAACCTTGCTTTTCAAAATACTGCAGACAAAATAGTCCAACGTATTGGTATCCAGAGATTTTGGTGGCCATTGTGCGCTGGAAATAAAGCGACTAACCTCATTTTGAAATCATTCTTGGGTGACACGTGCTGCGTGCGATGGTGCTGAGTCCTGTTGGAATGTCCAAGTTCTGCGGCCAAAATGTTTGAGTGCCCAAATCGTTAATACACCCTCCAGAATATTTTCGCGTCAATATTCGGCATTTATTCTGATGCCACGGTCGATTATTACGGGCGGAGAGCGACCATCGGCTGTTATTTTTTTATTATAAAATATTTTCAGTTTTATATAAATTCCGATTTTCCTGATAACATGATTGCTTTGCTCAACATTTTCTTTGTTTAATCACTTATAGCTGTTTTTCCAATTTCCAATAATTCTAATTGTCTTTTATTTCTCAATTATTTTAATCATTGTTCTCTTGTTTCGTTACAGTACAAACAATCTATTTGGATTTAACAAAGGCACATTCTCCCGATTTCTATATTGATTTTACTGCAACTGCGTATTTTGCTAGACAACTAACAAACAAAGTAAGTAAAAGCAAATATTTTCAATTTTTTTTTTAAATTTTTGATAATAAATAATAATTTTGTTCTGAGAATCGAAATAGTTTTTTTTTGTGCAAATTCCGTTTTTTTTTCTTCGATAACTTTTATGGGATGTCCTCAATTTTGTCCTTTGAAATTATTTCTCTTCTGCCACATTCTCTTTTCGAAGCAGGTTCTTGGTATAATTTCCCTTTTCATTATAATTTCGTTTGGCTTATGCCTTTCTAATCATCTGCGCCTCTTCTTACACCATTTAATGAATGCCGACTATATTAAGAAGAATTATTGATTTTTCCTCCCTTTTCAATTGTGTTCTACTTCAGTGCTAATGCCCAGTATTTCCGCTTGTGATTTTTCCAAACAGACGGACCAACTGAATGGTTGGCATCTCGACGCTTACATTCAGTGCTGATATTACAACGACGACAACACCAAAAAAAAAAAAAAAAAAAAAACTCATCAGCCATATCAAAATCAACTGTTGATTGTAATTTATACCATGCCTTCGTCAAGGCTGCTTTCTCCGTAGTTTTTGTTTTTTTAGTTTCTTCCAACCCAACGTTGGTTTGCATTGCTTTTTGTATGTATTCATCGAACCATCGCTATCGTTGTTCTATGTCCTTCATTATTTGGAAATTATTTTTTTAAAGTTTGCCTTTAATCAAGGTTTGTTGTTTGGGCCAGGAATCATCCTTTTTATGTTCCCTTTTTAGTCGGCGCCGACGATGATGATGATGCCTTTCATTGACAGATTTTTCTTCTAGGAATTTTTCTTTTATAGCAAAATATGTTTCCCAGAAAAAAGTCGTGTAATTATGTTACACAAGCAATTCAAAGAAATTTAAGGACGCCTGCCCACACAAACTGCTGTATAATAAGGATATACAATTTGAATTTTATTTATAGCATTCTTTATTATTTAAATAAGGATTTCCATGCTTTGTGAAGTAGAATAGGACCTATTTTATTCTGGGAAGCTACAGAAAATACATTCTGAGAAATTATTTTTTTTTTTGTGAAAAATTAATTTTTTTTAATCCAATTTCAAGCAATTCGAAAGGACAATTTTTGGGGTTTAATTTAATAAAAATTTTATTTAATAAAACAATAAAATATTGGTTACAATTTTGACATATGCCCCACTTATCGTTACCAATAGTTTTAAAGAGATTAAAAGGTAATTTGCCAAGGGAAGTGGCTGCAGTTTTGTATTTTGAAATAGATAAATATTTCGAAAACAATCGCCTTTGAAGCTGGATTTGAAGTTGGAAAAATGTTTTTTTGGGGTTCTGAATGTTTTGAAAAAATCTCGTTAGAGTTTGATATTTTTTTTAAATCCAGGTTTAAAGCTGTAATTTTTTCTTTAAAAAAATGCAAGTTTGAAGCACATTTAATCATGGAAAAATATTAAGAAAAAATAAGTTTGAATATGGATTTTTTTTTTTTTTGAAAAAATCCACATTTAAATCTGGGTTGGAAGAATGTTTTGAAAAATTCACATTTCAATCTAGGTTGGGAAAATGTTTAAAAAAATCTAGGTCTGAATCTGGGTTGGAAATTTTTTTTTTTAAAAAATCTACATTTAAATCAGGGTTGAAAAAGTTTTTGATCTGGATTGAAAAAATGGTTTGAGAAAATCCACGTCTGAATCTGGGTTGGAAAAACGTTTAAAAAAATCCCCTTTGAACTTTGAATACACTCCATCATTTGTAACGTACGTATTTGGCAATTTCCAAAAAAAAAAATAAATAAATAAAATAATATTCGTAAAAATTCTGTTAAAATCTTAAAACTTCCAAATGTTATATTAGGGTCTATACGACGTGGACCTGCATAGGCAACTTTTATCATAATTCATTTCAATATTCAAATGCGAAACTTGAAAAAAATCGGTGAATAATGTAGCTAAAATCATCAAAATACCTGATATAGGGAGGTACCATTATATGGGGGCTATACAAAAACGTTGACCCGCACAGACAATTTTCTGTCATAGGCTGTAGTATCCATGATGAACTTCAAATACCAAATTTTAAACAATTCCGGTGAATAATGTCGCTAAAATCATCAAAAATACCGAATATCGGGAGGTAACGTTATATGGGGGCTATTCGAAGGCGTGGACCTGCACAGATAATTTTTTGTCTTAGGCTGTAGTATGTATTTCGAACGTCAAGTACTAAATTTGAAACAATTCCGGTTAATAATGACGCTAAAATCATCAAAATACCGAATATCGGGATGTACCGTTATATGGGGGCTATACAAAGACGTGGAGCTGCACGGACAATTTTCTTTCATAGGCTGTAGTATCCATTTCGAAATTTAAATACCAATTCCGGTGAACAATGTCGCTAAAATCATAAAAATAGAGAAGAAAGGGAGGTATGGGCGCTATTCCAAAACGTGGACCTACATGATCCATTTTAATACCAAAAGTCCTGCAGACATAATATACATTTGAGTAAAATTTTATCAATCTACTTCATCTCGTTCGGAAGCTTGAGTGATTTCAACAGACGGACAGACGGACGGACATCGCTAAATCGACATAGAATTTTATACTGATCAAGAATATATATACATTGTAGGGTCTAAAATGTATATTTCGAGGTGTTACAAACGGAATGACAAACTTAATATACCCTCCTTACTAAAATGAAGGGTATTAAAACATACTGGTTTGAAGGTGGAAAAATATTTGAAAAAAAAATCCTTGTTTGAATCTAAACTAATATTTTTAAATAAATCCTCAATTCAAGCTGTATTGGTTTTAAGAAAATATTCTTGAATTCCAATTTAAGCTTAAAAATGTGTTAGTCTTAGAAAAAATATTTGAGCTGCATTTGCATACGAAAAAAATGTATTAAAAATCCCTAGTTGACAACTATTTTGATCCGCAAAAAACCAATCTAAAAAAACATTTTTATTTAGTTAGAAAAAGGAAATAATAAAATTATTTTATTGACCTCCAGCCGAACAATAAATAAATTGAACCAAGCCAACAATAAATAACAACAGCAAAATAATTTTTAACAGTTTTCCTTAAATTGATCTAAAAATCCGTATTTGGAACTGGATTGGCCTGGCCCTCTCCTCCATGTTTATGCCTCTGATAGTCCATTAAAATATAATTTTTAAATCCCGTTTAGCGCTGTGTCGCTCCTTGAACAAAAACTTCTTAAAATCTTAAAAAATATATTCTCCATTAAAATATGTTTTTCTGATCCTCGAAAAAATATATTTTAGAAATTCACAATGGGAGAACATTTAGAGCTATTTTGGTTCCAGGAAATTTTTTTTGAAAATCCACATTTAAAGGTGTATTTTAATCCCAAAAAATATTGGTAAATCTTCATAGAAAAGTTGTTTTTACTTTTCTTAATTTAAAATACCCCCATTGTTACCGCAATTAAACCACCTTCTCTCGTTTTTGCTGACATTCTCTCGTCCTCTTCTCCACATTAGCCCTTGAGAAAGTACATGCTGCTGCTGCCTGGCTGGCTACATGCATTATTTGTTCAAGTTGCCTTGCTCATTGCCACTTAAATTTCATTAAACCTATTAAATCTTTACCAAATGGGAAATCCAATTTAAAATAGTATTTAGAATACAAGCTACCCCACTGACAACAACAAAAATAAAATCCTCAAGCATTTCTTTTTCCAAATATCTACTGCGCATGTCAGTGGCGGTGGGCTTTTGTTGGCGATTTAGAAATCTTTTCTAGTGCTCTTCTAGCAGACAGAACGAGGGAAGAGAATTTTCAAAAAGAAAAAAAAAAACCATAATGCCAGCATTTCTCTTCGAAATGGAGAAGCATTAATCCTTTTTTTTTGCATTAAATCGTTTGTAGGATAGCTATGTGTTTAGTTACCCTTTAAAGCAGATTCATCATTATCATTCCTTTTTTTTGTTTGTTTGTGTAATTCTAAATGAGAAAGTATTCTTTTTTTCCTCCAACTTTTGTTTTCTAAAATCTCTCTATTGTTTACTAGTGTTTGTTTTTTATTTCTATTTTTTTCTGTTGAAATCCTTTTTTGCTCTGTTGGACTTTGCATTCTTCTATTGTCTATCAGCAGCCACCTACGCCTCGTCCCACCCACTAATGCTTGTTTTACATGTCATTCATTGTTGAAGCAATTTTAATCTGTTTTTCATCATATCGGAAGATTATATCCTATGTTTTTTTTTTTGCCCACACACAGTTCTATGTATATTTTGTGAAAAATGATTTTTTTGTATACATATGGAACAAAAAATTAATAATAATGATGTTGTATATATATACAGGGTGAGATAAAAAACTGCATCAAAGCCATAATTTTTAGAAAAAGTTTAGATTTGTTCGAATTGGTCATCTTTAGCACGAATTATGGCCTTCAAACGGCCAATGAAACCGTCACACGCTGCCCGAATGTTGCTCTGTGGTATTTTGGCCAATTCCCGGCGAAGCGCTTGCTTGAGGTGATTCGGCACTTTGTTATTTTTTAGTGCCAAACTTGCTTTTCAAAATACTCCAGACACAATAGTCCAACGGATTGGTATCCGGAGATTTTGGAAGCCATTGTGCGCTGGAAATGAAGCGAGGAACCTCATTTTGTAACCATTCTTGGGTGGCGCGTGGGTCTGGTGCCAAAATGTTTGCGTGCCCAAGGCTTTAATACATCCTCCAGAATATTTTTGCGATACATCGACCGTGGTATCATTTATTCTGATGTCACGGTCGATAAACTGAAACAGAAACTGAAAGGATAATCCGATTTTGCTCCAACTTTGCACATCCTATTATTTGCGTCAGTGCTAGGTCAGGTATGAAAATGGACAATATCGGTCCACTCCATCAGGTACCTCCCACACAAATGGTTAAAATTTTGAATAATTACAACTCTCATAAAATGTGATGTAAGAGTCCGATTGTCTTCAAATTTCACACATCCCAATATTTATATAAACCCAAGGAATGGTGTTAAGAAGGAATA